TTTGCTCTACAAATGTTTCCTGAGTCCCTGTTTATTTTTTTTCCCACGTGCGTAATCTAAGAATTCAGTGGGTGAAAGAGACAGAGGGGTGCCGTTGTCACAGAATTCTCAAGTTGCACACGCAGGCACACCCTAGTCTGGCAATTCAGAGACGGCATCTCTGTATAAGTTGCATTTGAGGCAAGACTCCAACGACGAGGAGGAGTGAGCCAGGGACAGTGAGGGGAGGCGGTTCTGCGTGCGAGTGTCCTGGGCCAGGAAGCCGCTGGCTCCCTGTACGGGCCTGAGGGAAGGGCCTGCGAGGAGGCAGGCGTCCGGGGCGCGGCGTGTGCGGTGAGGGGCCTGGTGGCTGCGGATCGTTACAGGGAAGAACAGATAGGAGGCCGGAGCCAGAACATACAGGGTTTTTGAGGGTTATATTCAGGGTGTGGATATTGTAGGTGGCTGTTAAAGGTTTTCAGCAAGGGAATGTGAGATTGAGGGGGGCGTGTGTGCGCGTGCGCACGCAGGTGTTCGGTTAAGCGATTCGTCTCTGCCTGGGTGAAGAACAGATTAGGCAGGACACAGGGTAGGAGCAAGGACGCCTGTTAGGAGACTGCTGCAATCAGGCGGGGCTATGTGGGAGGTTGTGAGGCTTTTAGGAGCAAGAGTTCATGGGGTCGAGTGATGGATGAGGTACTTGAAGTTAGTGATGGATGAGTGAAGAAAGGCTCCCATTGATTGATTGCCTGATTTTTTTTTTTTTTTTTTTGCAACTGAATGATCAAAGTTTCCCTTAACCGAGATGAGAAAGTTCTGTAGAGCAGTTAATGTTTTAAACTTTATGGGACCCTGGCGGTAACTCAGCTGGTTAGAGCATCATCCCCACATGCCAAGGTTGCGGGTTTGATCCCCAGTCAAGGCGCATACAGGAATCAACCAGTGATGCATAAATAAGTGGAAAAACAAATTGATGTTTCTCTGCCTCTTCTATAAAATCAATAAATAATTTTTTAACACCTTTATTTTGATGTAATTTTAGACTTACAGAAAAGTCACAAAAGAAGCCCACGTTCCCAGCTTCCCTTAATGTTACCATCTTAGTGGTTTTAATTTAGTTAATTTAGTTAGTAGCTACATAGTTGGTAGCTACAAAACTACTGCCTAAATTACAGACCTTATTCCAACGGCACTCATTTTGCACAAATGTCCTTTTCCTATTTGAGGACCCAGTCCGGGACCCCACACTGTGCTGTCATTGTGCCTCGTTACTCTTGTGATTTCGTCCTGGAACTCGTGATGGAAGCTTGTCCGTTTTTCACGACTTTGACACATTTAAAGAGCCCTGGTTAGATATTCTGCAGAATGTTTCATGGCCTCCCATGAAATCCGTCCCCTACAACAAATGGATGGACACTGCGCTGGTCTGAAGCGGTCTCATGATTATATTGTGGTTATGCATTTTGGGCAAGAATATTGCAGAGGTGGTGCCATGCCTTCCTGCGTGCGTTTGTTGGGGGCTCCATAATGTTGATGTGTCTTGTTACCCGATGTTGACTTTGATCACTGGGTAAGGTGGCATCTGCCAGGGGACTCCGCTGTCCAGGTACTAGTCCCTGTGTGTAAGGAACAGGTATCCTGGGGGAGATCGTTAGAGACTGTGCAAATAATCTCATTTCTCCTTGAGTGTTTGCTCACTAATCTTAGCATCCGTCTGTGGATCCTGCCTGCGAAAATGATTACTGTGGTCGTCACACGATGGTGATTTTCTCTTCCTATTCCTACCTGCATTAATTGAAATTCTTCTGGAAGGAAGAGCTGAAACATCTTCCCCATTTATTTATTCAAGTATTTGTATCAATGCGAACTCATGGGTATTTATTTTATTAACAAAAAATAAAAATATTTTTAATGGGTGGGAGGGCGATGACCACCAATTCTCTTTTGGACACGCTAAGTTTGAAGGGCCTCTGTGATGTTCAAGGCATCCATTGGTCCCAGATTCCAGGACAGTAGGGCTTGAGATGTCTTGTTTACTCCTTCCTATACCAGCGTCTTTACCCCCAATGAGCCTTGCAAATGCCTACAGAGTAGGGGATGAATTTAATTCTTTGCATCCCCAGCACAAGCATACACCAATGGCCAGAGTATGTACCAAACAAATGTTGGTTGGGTGGATAATGAATGGGTGGATGATGGATGGATAGATGGATGGATAGATGGACGGATGCATAAGTAATGGAGGGATAGATGATGGCTGGCTGGATGGAGGATGGATGGATAAATGGGTGGATGATGGATGGATGGATGGATGATAAATGGGTAGGTGGATGATGAATGGATGATGGATGGATGCATAAATGATGGGTGAAGGATAGATGATTGATAGGTGGATAAAATGATAACGGATGGGTGGATGGGTGGATAATCGAGAAACGAAGGTATGGATAATAGGATAAACCCAAGTGGCTTCATCGATACAAACAGTGAGTGGGTTGTCTTGTCTCCAATGACACTCCCAGCTCTGGTCTCCCTGGTCGTTGCAGTGATTTGAGTCTAATTCTGAATTCTCTCCCTGCTCCCCGCTTCCTGCTCCTGCTGGGATCCGGATGGCCAATGACTTTGCTTCCAGTCGCAATTGAAGAAAAAAGTAAGAACGGTGGAAACCCCACATTTGCATTCCAGTAGGTAGATCCTTTCAGAGTCCTTCCGCTATTAAGACCCCTCAGGGAATTCTGGGGGAAGTGGCACCTAGATCTGGTTACACAGCCTTTGTCTTGGGGACAGGGCCTTGCTAGTAGTTTCACATGGTGATAACTGCATGAAAATGGCCTCCCATGAAATCCCTCCCCCTGCAACAAAAGGCAGATAAACGAAGGAATAAGAAATGCATGTGGAAGTTAACTGGGGTGGATAACGTTAGTATTAATCCTAGTCTCCTTGTTGCCTTTTTTTTCCATGTCGATTCTCTGACTCCTGGCTCTATTGTCCCTTCCAGTTAAATGTAAGTCCTGTCTCCTTCTCCCTACATCCATTGGGAGGCCTTCCACCCAGAGAAAGAAGGGGCACAAGGGAGAGGCGAAACTGCTGACCGCCACGTTCAACCTGGGCAGACTCAGAGACATGCTCTTAACTTTACGTGGGCTCTGAAGCCAGAATCTGCAGTTCCCCGGGGGTGAGGGTCAGGGAGGTCAACAAGCCTCTGTACTCATGTGTAAAGCTGGGTGAGGGAGAAGGAACCTGCGTGTTTTCTGGGAACATGGATTGCATTGCTTTGACCAGATGTTCAGTAGCGTGAGTGATGTCTGCTGTAAGTTGTGAACATGCATTGGTGCATTTTACTTGGGAAAATGCGGTGCAGAGTGAGTGAACCTCCCTCTTTGGCAAGTCCTAACCGTCCTGGTGTCTGGTAAAGAAATGGAGGTGCTGACTGGTTGTCGTGGAGACCCTCCTTCCGCCAACTTCCCGAAACTGGAGGGGAGGACGGAAGATTTGGGTGCCGCAGGCACCTGGTATCCCCAGGATTTCTTGACTTCTGGGATAAATATGTCTCCAGAGGGGTCCAGGGCTCACAGAATGGGTCACAGCTTCTCCCTCTGGTCCCCTGTCCTATCTCAGGGCCCACGGAGGGGACAGGGAGGTCAAGGATGACTTAATTCTTTTGTGTTTTCTCTGAACCTTCACTGGGAAAATGATCCCCACCGGCCACCATCTGCCCGCTCTGTCCTGCTGCTTGCACGTCAACAGTGCTGAAAGGTGAGCCTTGGTCCGCCCCTCCCCCTCCCTGCGGGGACTGTCCCTGTCCCACGCGGGCGCTCTCTGACGGCCTTCAATGGGTCTTTCCTCCCGGGGAAGCGGTTCGGTCAAATGAAACCACCGCTTCGTGATTGGGTTTGGAAGCTGGGGAGAGAGGAGCCTCCGTGGGAGGAAGTGAGATAGTATCTCGTAGAAAGGGCTCCGCCCCCCTGTCTCCAGAGCCCACGTTGCCCCTCCTTAGCCGGACAGCCTTGGAGAAGCCCCTTCACCTCACCTGTGCCACCTGCATGCAGCTAAAGGCAACCACAGATGTGAAACCCTCTTCAACCCAACCTGGGAACGCCAGGGTTCAGTAGTCCTTCCTGCTCCTACCTGCCCCCACACACATGCGCACAATCCACACCACCTAGGGATGCTATTATTATTACTTTGATTATCATTTGCACCATGTTACTCTTTCTAACACCTACGAAACGTTTGCCTTGAGCCGGGAATTACCTTCCTTCGTGGTCGGCCCAGTTCCACATGGAAGATTAACATCCCCACTTTAGAGGCACGTTCAGTGACCAGCCCAAGGTCACCCAGTCAGTAAAATGCACAGCTTGGATAGCAAGCGTTTACTTCCATGCCTACATTCCTGACAACGTTAGGCAGATACGGAGGATGGTTTTGTGAGCGACATACAGACAGATGTTTCCACTAACAAATTTAGTGGAGTTCCTTAGTTTGTAGAGAGTCCCAGCCCAGCCTCGTAACGGATAATACTAGTCTCATTTTGTGGATGGGGATGCGGAAGGCTTATAGAGAGAGTCGGAGAGAGCTGAGTTTGAATTCTTGTGCTTTCAGTCGACAGCTGTGTGTCTTTGCAAATTATATAATTTCACAGGCTTTTGCTATCCTCATCAGCAACATGGAGACTGTTCTCTGGTCTGAGGGATAGAAGCAACGCTTGACACCTTTTACTAGAGTCAGGGAAGGGTACCCATATTTTGCTGTGTATAATGCGTAGTTTTGTGCCCAAATTTTTGAGGGAAGAATAAAGATGTGCATTGTACATGGGAAAACAATGGTACTTTCTTCCTCTCGTTCTAACGTGACTGAAGAATGGTTCATGATCATTTCCCACTTAAAATAAAATGCAAAGAGGCTCTCCAAAACTCAGAGTTCTGGGTCCTGGTCCCTAACCACTCCCCATGACCCTCTGTGGACTCTTATTTCACAACCTGTTCCCAGCACTTGGCATCTGATCTCGTTTTTGGTTTTCTATTTATGGCTTCACCCCTCCGCTCTGCACCATGTCCGTGACCTTGAACTCCATGCTGTCTCTTCTGGATGGGCTGCTATCAGGAATCCTAGGTAACTACCTTGCCACGTTCATGGTGCCCCTGGACGGTGAACTTGGGCAGCAAACCTTGAGCAAGAATTCCTGAGCATGTCCCATGTGCCTGGGCTCCTGCTTGGGGGGACGGGGACCCACGTTTGGGTGAAGGAAACCCACAGATGGATCGCATCGGCTTGCTGTTTAGGAACTCAGAGACTGGCGGAGAACAGAAGCGAATAAACATAAATTAAATGTGATGAGAGAGAAGGGACGCCTGCTAGCGGTGACAGGGTTGGGAAGAGGGACAGCGGGAATATCGAGGTGCCCTAAAATATCCCGGAGGCATCGTAGCCAGACTTCCCAATGACGAGAGTTTCTGAAGTCTGTGGCTCTGGGGAAATTTATGGGTTAGGGATATTTCTTTCTGATGCATTTTCACCCATCACCTGGTATGTTTCCTCCCTCAGGCATGATGAGCAGGCTGTCAGGGGATGGTAAGTGTGAGAACTCTGGTCTTTTTCCCGGTGTGTCTTTCCTCTTGTCCTTGTGGAGTCAGTTGTCTTTTTCCTTGTTCATTGAAAATAAATACTGTTTTGTTTATTTAATTTGGAAGAACCATTCGGATAGTAGCCAGTCCACATTTTGCAACTTTGAGTTTGGAGGTAGTGGAAATCTTTATTGGCGTATCGCTTTAGAGCTCGGACTTTACCTACTTATTATTTCGTAACTTTTTAAGTTCTAAAAGTAGTACATATGCACCAAAAAATTGAGGGGACATAAAATGAAAGTGAAACTCTTCTTCGTCATCCCAGTCCAGCTCTGCTGTCTAGAAACAGCCACACCCATCAATACAGGGAATTATCTAACTTCTTTGTCTTTGACTATGAGATGGCTGAAAATAATTGGTCCTCATTTTTCAAAGACAGACTGAACCCCAATAAGCATTCCTGCCACGTCTATGTAGTACCAATCCTATTCTTTATATATATATTTTTCCATCCTCTGCTGAGGACATTTTTTTTTTCCTTGCTTTACTTGGAGAGAGAGAGGAAGGGAGAAAGTGAAACATCAATGTGAGAGACAAGCATTGATTGGTTGCCTCCTGTATGCACCTGGACTGGGGATTGTACGTGCCCTGACTAGGGACTGAACCCACAATCTTTTAGTTACGGGACAACGCTCCAACCAACTGAGCCACACTGGCCAGGGCTATATTTTTCTTTAAATGGACTCAGTTTTTATTTAGATCAGCTTGAAAAGGAAACTGTGCACCACCTAAATGGAAAGCCAGTATTGTTTGCTATAAGCAGAAGACAGCTGTGCAAATAGGTTTAATGTAAATAAAACGCTACCAGATGATAACATTAGAATGTTATAGTTTGTTAAGTTACAGCTTTTGTCTACAGCCGTACCACCCTGAATGCGCTCGAGCTCGTCTGATCTCGGCAGCTAAAGTATAACTCTTTGCTGCTGAGGCTCTTCTCTGGAGGCTGTTCTCTCTTTGGCTCAAAGGGCAAGTAGGGGGCGCTACACAGGTGTCATAGACCAGTTAGTATCATTGGAGACGTACTGTCCGGTAGAATAAGGATTGTAAAAGGAGTTTACAACCTGGAGTTTCAACCTAGCTCCTTTTTTTTTTTTTTAACCAGTATATATGACCAGGGACAAGTCTCTTTTTCCCCTCTTAACATAGAACTAATAATTCACACTATACGGGTGGTTATGACGTTAAGATGAAAATATATCTATATATTTAAAGATTTTATTTATTTAATTTTAGAGAGAGGGGAAGGGAAGGAGAAAGAGAGGGAGAGAAACATCAATGTGTGGTTGCCTCTCATGTGCCCCCCACCAGGGACCTGGCCTGCAACCCAGGCCTGTGCCCTGACTGGGAATTGAACTCTTGACCCTTTAGTTTGCAGGCCGACACTCAGTCCACTGAGCTACATTAGCCAGGGCTAAGATAAAATATATTTTAAAAACTCAGGTACGAGGAAGCCGGTTAAAATTAGTTCAACTCCCCCCACCGCAATTCCATGGATTCCAGAATCCAAAGCCTTCTTCATGGTTCCTGCTGCTTCTAAGATAATTTCTAAGTTCCCTCCACCTGGGGTCGTCTGTTTTCTCCTCAACCTGGGAGCATCCCTCTCTCTCCTTCACTGGTATCCACGAGAAATCAGCTTATATTCACAACTGGCCGGTTCCGCTGATGATCGGACCGTGGAGAGCAGCGGCCGAGAGGGTGGGCTTCTCCATCTCCGCAGCTCAGCTCCCCTCCATCTCTCCTTTGCTTCCTCCCACGCTGCTGGGGGAGCCCTGAACCTCTCTCCTAATGAGCCACACCGCTCAGCGCTCCCTAACTCGGGCCCTCAGACCATCCACCTCACCCAGAGACAGCGCCCTCTGACAACCGGAGCCTCCCTCCTTGGAAGGCCGCTGGACTTGATAAAAAAGCGAAACGTGCTTCTTGTTCCCCACGTGAAAAGGCCAGAAAGCCAAAGATCCACGGAATAGAGCCCCAAATGGGCTTCACAACCTCCCACCCTGGAGTGGAAGTGGAGGAGGCGAGATCCATGGGCTCATGGAACTGCGCCCCCGAAAGAAGCAGGGGTTCAGAGACAAAGGGCAACCCGCAGAAAGGTGTTTAAACTCCTGTGCCTTCAGGGCTTTGCGGATATTGTTTTCTTTAATGCTCAGACCTCCCCCTCCAAGACAGGTCCACGGTATTTTCACCTGGGGTGACCCCGTGTGCCCAGGACATTTCTGGTTTTAGCATGAAAACTCCCTCACCCCGAGCACACCTTCCATCCCTGGGGAAGCCAAGGTGGTTGGTCATCCCGTTAACATTGCTCTTTTTGGGGGCGGGGGGAGGGAAACGGAGGCACAAAGAGGTGGGATACGTTGCCGAAGGTCACCGAACTCCTAAGCAACAGAGCTGGAATTTGGACACAGGTCTATATCTCTCGGGACGCTCCTTTTTTTAAAATTTTTTCTTAAGAGGGAGTCGGAGGTCTTTTTTCTTAATGGAATCATTTTTTTCCTTTTTATTGAATGTATGAGGGTGACATTGGTTAATGAAATTACACAGGTTTCAGGGGCCCACTTCTGCAACACGCCATCTGTACGCTGCATGGGGTGCGCACCACCCCACGCCAAGTCTCCGTCCAGCACCATGTACCCCCGCAGGCCGGCCATAGTCCGAAGTCTTTAAAACTACCGACGCGGCTCTGCATCGTCTGGCTCTGGTTACTCCCAGGCCACTGCAGTCTCCTCCCACGGAGGGTCTCTCCATGTCCCCAACGCTGCAGACCAAAACCTTCCCTCCCAGCGCCGCGCCCATGCTCTTCCCTCCCAGGGAGGCGCCTTCCTCTCTGCCCTTCCAAAGGTTCTCACTTGCCTAAGCCCCACTCATGTGCCAGGCCTCAGACCCACCAACACACTCTCCAAGATGCCTTCCCGGGCACCTCGAAAAGCTCAGCCACCGTAGCCCCCTTCTAGGTGGCCCCTGTGTCCCGCAGGTGTAGCCAGAAACACCGTCCCACCTGTTCCCCGTTGCTGACTCCCGGTGGGGGCGCGGCTGACTAGGCTCGGCTCGCTGACGTTCTCTGGGTGCAGGGACCTCGCCCGCTTCTGTTAGCGAGGAAGGCAGGCCACACGATGGAGCCGAGTCTCACCTGCCTCATCCCCGGTAGCGTTTCTGCCTCTGCTCTCCTCTGGCGGGTCGGGGGTGCTTCCTCGGTGGGGCCCAGGGTCCCGGTCTAATGCCGATTTCTCTCTCTGCTCTGCACCCCCTCTGGAACCTGGCCGCCTGCAGACAGGACAGAGGAAGAAGGTAAGTACCGTGGAGTCCCAAGTCCGTGGGTTTGACATCGACTCCTTGGGAGCCTCCTCTGGGCCAGGAAGCTTCTTAAAATTTCTGGCGCTCGCATGTTTTAAAATTATTTTTTATTTATTGACTGTAGAGGGAGGAAGAGAGAGAGAGGTCAATTTGTTTTGTTCCACTTATTGATGCATTTATTGGTGGAGTCTTGTATGTGTCCTGACTGGGATTGAACCCACAACCTTGGGGTATTGGGATGATGCTCTAACCAACTGAGCTACCCGTCCAGGGTCCTGACACTTAGACAGAGGCCTGGGGTCAGGGGGAAAATCAGTGCATACAGACTCCACTAAAGCATAAAGTTGTGGGGGATGGGTCGGGAAGGGAGCCCCGATAGGGAGCAGCTGCCAACTTGTAAATATTGTGTAAATACTTCAACTCTGGCCGATTGCAAGATACTAATGGTTTCGTAGCCGGCTTGCAATATTTGTAAAAATGTAACCTTCTTTTTGGGGAGCCAGCTCTGGCACAGGGGTGCAGTGTACGAACAAGGTTAGGGGTAGGGTTCCCCTCAGCCTCCAGCCTTCTGTTCATGTCCCGCTCCCACTCTGCCCTCCCGATGGAGAGGCAGGGGTTCAAGGACACCCACCTCTTCTGGGTCATTAGCTGGATCTTCAAACTGAACACCCCCCTCCCCATGACTATATAAATCTCCCTTCTTTCATTTATAAAGCAAGAGAACGATGTCCTTCTTATTTTAAGATCGCTTCCCTATGACTGAGATAGATATTTTCAAAAGTACAAAAATATGAGTGCATGAAAACACTGTGAACTCTGAGTAAGTAAGATCCGTAGTTTAGGTAACAGCCTGGGGCCAATGTCAATTTACTGGGCTTTTATTTAAGGTTTTATTTATTTATTTTTAGAAGGGAAGGGAGAGAGGAAGAGAGAAAGAAACATTGATGTGACAGAGAAACATCCGTCGGTCGCCTCTCATACACACCCTGACCAGGGACCAAACCCATGACCCAGGCTCTTGCCCTGACCTGGAGTCGAACTGGTGACCTTTCGGTTTGTGGGTTGATGCCCAATGCACTGAGCCACACTGGTCGGGGCGACACTCTGGCTTTGATAACATGCTATGGTTGTGTGAGGTGCCGTCACCAGGGGGAAGCTGGACAATGGGTACATGAGACCCCTCGGTGCCGTTTTTGCAGTGTTTTGTGAGCCCATAATTACTACATAATCACAGTAAGCTTCAGACTCTTTAGGGAAGGAACAATGGACTGTCCTGGGGGTGTGAATGTTGATCCTGCTCTCTCACTCCCTCTTTTCCGTATGGACTCCTTGACTTCTGGCTCTGCTGCACCCTCCAGTAAAAAGTAAGTCATTTCTTTTTTTTTGTTATGGGTAACTTGGATACTGGGAAGAAGAGAGAGAAGGGGATCCTTGGCTGCTTCTCCATTTAAGAGCCTCTGCTAAGGGAGGCTCCTTCTGCTGTCCCTGTCTCTGAAGGAGGCTCAGGAGAAGCAGGAGGCTCAGGGATGGCCCCTGATAGGATGTCACACTGAGTGTCGCAAGGGTGTGTCGGGGATGTCGGTGGCTCCTAGGCAGCAAGTATGATGGAATAGGTGAGCCCATAAGCATATATGGTCCCCAAACGTTATTGGATTCTCAAAAGCCAAGAACCACTGCCTCAGAAGACTGAGTTGCATGTATTTGTTGGATAAGGAGGACCCGAGAGGTACAACACTTCTCTCAAGTTTTCTCCTTCCTGACCTCTCAGGAGAGCAATGAGATAAAATGGGGTCAAGGGGACCTAACCTCTGGAGGGGGGTGAATCCCCAAGGACATTGGGTACCTGGGGGTTCTGGCTACCTGGATAAATGTGTCTCCAAAGGGGACCCGTCTAGTAGAAGCATTTAAAGTCAGCCACTCTGGCCCCCAGCGCATCCCATGAAATCTGGGAGCCGCTCTCACTTCCCTCCTATGAGAGGGTCCCTTTTGGGAACCAGCAGAGTGGGACACGCTAGGAAGGAGCCATTGACACACTTCTCCCCTCATTCCTGTTTCTGGTGGTGCCGACGACTCCTCCTGGATTTTCTCCTCCTTGCTGCTCACATCTCGACAGTACTGAAACGTAAGACTCTAGTTCCACATCCCTGCCCCTCCCTCTTTGGGCGTGTTCACTTTCTTCTTTTTAAAAGAAAAAAGAAGATTTTATTTATTTATTTTTAGAGAGAGGGGAAGAGAGGAAGAAAGAGGGAGAGAAACTCGTTTGGTTGCCTCTTGCACGCCCCCTACTGGAGACCTGGCCCAAAACCCAGGCAGTTGCTCCCATGGGGTTACCTGCTTTGCAAGATGATGCCCAAAGCACTGAGACACACTGGTCAGGGTGGCAGGTTCCCTTTGTTATGTCTGCTCTAGGGTCCATTCCAGACCATAGATCATCTCTCAGAAAACTTATTTTAGCCCAGGGATTGGGGAAAAAAAAGCATCATCTTCCCCTTCAAAGAGTTGGGGTGTCTTCGAAGAACCCAGCCCCTCCTCAAGTCAAGGGTGTGGGCAATGCTCTTACGAGGATGGTGACGACCATCACTAAAAGTTATTAAGAGCTTCTTAGGTGCCGGGCCCTGGAAGCAGCACCTTTAATGTGTGCCCCCCAAACTTCTGCATGAGGTAGGTGTTACCCATCAGAAGTGCGTAGGTGCCCACCACGTGGTGACAGAGAGTACACGAAGAGGTGGCTGCCTTCGCGTCTAACCCTGATTCAGCGCAAGTCCTTTAAGCCATTGGACCCCCCTCTGACCCCCACAGTGAGGCTTGTGGTCGTCCCCCCGCATCCTGTTACCTGCCATAAGCCCTAACTGCTCACCACCACCCACCTGCGCTCTGCTCTCACTGGGTCCCGATCTCCCACCTTCTGACCTTGTGATTTTCCCTCTTACTCACGGTCTGTCTCATCTTTCGTGACCTCTTCTACTCAACTCTCTGGACTTTGCGAACTGGACTGTGGTTTCGCCTTCTGGACCACACTTCCTTCTGGATGGGCGACATCAGAGATTCTAGGTGAATATCTCACCCCATTTATGACCTGGGATTTTGGTGGAAATCTTACCTGGCAAAAATATTCTTTAATACTTAGTATGTGCCAGGACTGTGGAGGGGTGGTAGAAACCCAAAAGATGAATCTGATGTCCTCATACCTCTACACAAACCTGTAGTCCGGGGCGGGGGAGGGGGGGACAGACAGAGAGTTAGAATAAAATATGAATGAATGTCTTTGGGGAGGAGCAATGAGAAAAGGTAGTGGTGGCTTGTAGAGTCTGTCAGCCTGGGGGTATTTATCATTGTTTGTGCGCTGTCTTCCACAGGTTTGCTGAGCCTCCAAGTGTTAACCGGTAAGTGGTAGCTATGTTATTTGACCCCACTATTTGGTTTTGGTTCTGTGCACAGAAATAGAGAATTATTCTTTTTAAAAAAATGTTGGAAGAGCCTTTAGATATCATCAGACGTTATACTCTCTGTCATCATCATTAGCGTCATAAATGTTTAACATTTTTCATTCATCTAACCACAAATACTAGTAAATATTAGCGAACCTGTCTAAGTCCAGTTCTAGGTATTGGAGATATGGAAGAGAATCGAACAATCAAAAATCTGTGCCCAGATGGAACTAATGAGAGGAGAAAGAAAGGAATAAGGAGTAGGTTAAGTCTGTTGGAGGCTGACAAGTTCTATGAAGATAATAGGGTAAGGGAGAGGAAACTGCATCATGGGAGAGGTCGAAATGTTTTTGAAGGATGATCAGGGAAAGTGTCATTTCTGCAAAGACTTGAAGGAGGTGAGGGAGCCAGCCATGTGTACGACTGGGCTAAGGGTGTTCCAGGCAGAGGGAACAGCATGTGCAAAGGCCGTGAGAAGAGAGCTGGGATCAGGGATGGCAAGGAGGCTCATTGTGTTCCCTTCTCATGTGAGGCATTTAGAAGCACTGTTTATAGTTTGGTCTTCATCCATTTCATAATTTGTTGATGATTTCTTTTCTTCTTTTCTCTCCTCCTCCTTCCCCTTCCCTTCTCTTCCCCTCCCTTCCTCACTCCTTCTCTCTCTTTCCTCCTCCTATTCTTATTCTTGTTTTTGTTCTTTCTGCCCTTCTTCTTGTTCTCCTCCTTCTCCTTTGTCTTCTCCTTCTCCTTTGTCGTCGTTGTCTTCTTCTTTTTCCTGCCCTTTTCCTGCTTCTCGTCCTTCCTCCTCCTCCTCCATTTTTAGAAGAAACAAATGACTGCAAGGAAGAAGGTGAGTGCATGGAATCTGGAGGACAGTGAGTTCCTCCAGCCTGGGTTACAACAAAGCTTTGAGGTGACCTCAGATAGCCAAGATCAGGGCTTCAGTACCTGAGAAGTCCTTTCAAAGGCCATCCAAAGCCTTCATACCACCCCGCCCCTTCATACTGCTCACTAGTATCCAGGTGACCCAACACATTAAGGTATGAGTGGAAGACATTTTTGTTTTTCCCAGTAGCTTCTTCTGTTGACTATTGAACCTTGTCCCCTCTCTGGAAATTACCAGGTAGGTTCTGCGTGGCAGGACTGTATGGCTGAAAAGCAAGAGAAAGGACAGCAGGGAATCCAAGCAAGCTTCTAGGTGATCCACATATTAGAGATCAGCACTTTTAAGCAGCTGAGATTATTCTGTTCACAAAAATAGATGAATTGTTTCACCAGAGAATTATATTTTATTTAGAAAGGTAATCAAATGGAAATTCTAGAATTGAAAACATATAACTGAGATGAAGAATTCAGTCATTGGACTTTACATCAGAGAGGGTGATTATTAAGCTAGAAAGACGGAGAGACCATTCAAATAAAGCACAATAGACAAAAGTATAGAAAATACAAAAAGGAGCACAAAAGATAGATGATAGATACCCAGTGAACAGTTGTGATGAATGTAAAGTTAGAATTTCAGAAAAAGCGGCAAGAGAAAATAAAGCTGAATTAATTTCTGAAGAGTTAATGACTAAGAATTTCCCATATGGATAAAAATAACCATCAAGCAACAGATTTTAAAAGTTCTGAGAACCCCAAGGGCACATGTATATTTAAAAAGTCACTTCTAGGAACACTGCCACAAAATAGTTGAAAGCCACAAAGACAAAAAAATTAACTTCACCTCACATTAAAAAAAAGGACTGAATTCATTTCCTAGGGTTGCCATAGCAAATTATCATAAACTGGGTGGCTTAAAACAACAGAAATTTATTTTCTCACTGTCTAGAGGCTGGGCACCCAAAATGATGGAATTGGCAGGACCACGTTATTTCTGAAATTTCTAGGGAAGAACATTGTCTTGTCTCTTCCGAGCTTCTGGTGTTTGCCAGTAGATCTTGCCATCGCTTGCTGAAGATGCCTCACTCCAGTCTCTGTCTCCATCACATGGCATTCCCTATAGATATATGACAAGAAAAATAATAAACATTATATCATAAAAGTGCACCTTGCGCTGCTCACTAAAAGAAAGCTGGCATAAGCATGCCAACATCAGACAAAGTAGGTTCTAAGTCAAGGAGTATTCCTAGAGGTGAAGCCAGACATTGAAATTGGTAACAGGGTTAACTTGCCAGGAAAACAGACCAGTTCTAAATTTGTTTTCTTGCAGTAGCATGTTTTTTTACATAAATAAAATGAAAATTAACAAAACTAAAATAAATAGACAAATCCGTGATTATAGTGAGAAATTTTAACACCTTTCTCAACAGGCGATAAAACAAGCAGGTAAAATTTAATTAAGAATATAGAATATTTAAACAGCCAACAAAATTATACAGGTTTTAGGTATGCCCTGAAATAAAAATAAATTCAAGAACAAAACAACAACAACAAAGAAAAAGATTAAAAAATAAAATGAATGACTAACACCCATGGCCTAGTTGACATATCTAGAACTCTGAACACAACAGTGACAGAATGCAGTCTTGTCAGATGGACATGGAATTTTTAAAAAATTAAATGTATTGGGGTAAACATTGGTTAGTAACACTTACAAATTTCAGGTGTGCAGCTTTATATTACAACATCTGCCTACTCCATTGCGTGCTCACCACCTGAAGTCTAGTGTCCTTCAGTCGCCAGATATTTGACCTCCTTTACCCTCTTCATGCCTGTCCCACGCCCCTTCCCCTCTGGTAAACACATACTGTTGTCCGTGTCTGAGTTTGCTAAATGTGGGATTTTTGTCTTACCAAGAGTGGGGTATACGTTTGTTCATAATGCAAGCCTCAAGCAATTTCGGATTGATGTCATTTAGGGTATCTCCCTGAGTAAAATGGAATTAGCCTATAAATCAACAATAAAGGTATTAGAAAATCCAAACTTATGGATTAATAGATATACTACTAAATAACCTATGAACCAAGGAAGTAATCATAAAAACAACTAGAATTTTGAATTGAATTATAGTAAGGATAATCATTATTAAACCTCATCAGATACAGCACAAGCTTTACTTAGAGGGAAATTTATAATTTTAAATACATAAATTAAGAGAGAGGAGGGAAGGTAGATAATAAGTTAGAAAAAATATTTGCATATATTACAACTACACATTTTCCAAAGTAAAGTTCCTAAGAAAAGGAGAACAGGGTGCCTCTCCCTTAATTTTCAACAAGGAGCATTATTTTTTTTTTCAATTTGTATTTACTTTTACATTGGTAATGTTGTTTTTTGGGAGGGAGGCCTATTTAGGCAGGTGTGTTTTGTCAAAGACCCAGAAGTAGCAACGTTACAACCATAAGATCAGTAAAATAATATTAAATAAAAGTTTATTGTTCAAGTAAGAACAGTTCCCAAAGGGGGAGCTTCCAAGTGCAAATCTGATGTGAAGCTCACAGGCACGAGGTTGCAGGACGAATAATAAAGTGTTTCCTTTTTACAACAATGGTCATTACAACAGAAGTTTCCAGGTAGCAGTAGGATTGGTCAAGTGATTAACTTGTACCATTTTAGGGAAGATGACAAATTTCTTTCATGATTATTAGAGGCATTTAAAAAAACTTAAGTTTTGCTTATGTTCATGAAATAAGTTAGATTTAGTTCAGCTTGTGAGGCTTAAAATGGTTTTGTCTGCCCAGGGAATTTTCAAGTTCCGTCCTCATTTTGTATTTAATTTTAACAGTTTATTTGTAGAATTCTGAGTTTTTCATATGTAAAACTTTCATTAAATTTTTTTAAATCCTCGTCCAGAGGATATGCCTACTGATTTTAGAGAGAGAGGAAGAGGAAGTGGGGAGGGGGAGAGAGAAAGAGAGAGAGAAAGACTGATGTAAGAACCATCCATCAGTTGTCCCCCATGCTCGCTCCTGACTGGGGATCAAAGCCACAACATTTTGGCGGGCAGGACAACGCTCCACCCAACTGAGCCACCCAGCCAGGGCAACTTTCATTAAAATTTAAAATGAAAAAAAAGTACAGCATAACATAGTAATAACTATGAATGGTGTCAGGTAGTAACTGGGCTTATCAGGGAGATCACGTCCTAAGTTATATAAGTGTCTAGTCACTATGCTGTAAACCCAAAATGAACGCGATATTACAATTACATCAAGTATAAATGAAAAGCTGTTAAAAATTAAAAAAATATGGAAAGAATGTTGGGTAGGCAAAAAGAACACGTGTGCGCTGCATTAGGTGTAAAATGAGGAGGCAACATGATTGGGTCTCCGGGTTAGAAAGATCCTGGCAGCCTCGTGGGCAGTGGTTTGAGGGAGAGGGAGTACGGAGCTGAGGCTGGAACGCCGTAGTCCATGGGACGCTTGGCCACAGGACACCTGCTTAGACTGGTGCCCTGGAGATGTCTGAGAGCTGTGGAGGAACCTGGCAGCATTTCAATCCAGCGGGCAGGTGAAGACGTGGGTGTGGGGCCGGAAAGGAGATTCATAAAGGCAAGACTTTCTAGGCGGGGAGGGCATGCCTTCGGGGTAGGTCATTGCCATCTGCTTCTCCCAGTTAAGCTTCCCCCAGCTAAGCTTCCCCCAACGACCACCCCCACCAAGAAAGCACCCAGGAAAAGGAACAAATGGAACTTACTGAAATGCGCCTACATGATGGTCACCTTCTTGTTTGTGTCCTACAATAAAGGAGACTGGGTAAGAAGGAGCCTGGCACCTAAGCGGGGAGAAGGGTAGGGGAAGAAGGAGGGAGCAAGAAGAGAGAGAAGGGAGAGGAGCAGGAAGAAGGGGAGGGGGGCAAAGAATGGCCCAGCAAACAAAGTACACAAGAGTACGCCCCTCCTCTGTAAATCAGACCCTCCCTCCCTTTCCCCGTTTCTCCCCACACACTCGGACTCGGAGAGCAGCCACTCCCTCTGCAGGCCCACAGCCCAGAGATTCCTCTGCAACAGCACCACCCATCTATCCTCTCCCTCTGCCTCTTCCCCTCTCTCTCCTCCTCCCTTCACTTAAGGGAAGCTCTTAAGGACCAAGCATTTGCCAATAGGCTGCAGATGCTGGAAGGCCAGGCGGAAGGTGGGAGCTGTGAGACAGAAGGGAGGCTGAGTGGATCAGCAAGGCCACAGGATGTTACAATAGGAGGAAAGAAGGAGAGAGGGGAGGGCAGGAAAGAAGGAAGGAAGGAGCGGGAGGAAAGAAAGGGAAGGCGACAAGGGGACTTGCCTCAACCGTACCATTTCTCTGTTTCCGGCTCACTCCTTCGCCAACCTCCCAGTGCTACTGCCACTACTGTAGCGGAGACCCGGACGTCAGGTATGCTGTGGCAGGGAAGGAGGTTTTTCTCACCCCCGGGGTGGGAGGGCTGGGGCCCAAGCACCTGCTGTTAGGGTAGGGGCCCCCGGCGGGTCTGACACTCCAATCCTACAATCACAGAATTGTATAAAAAGGTCCAACTTCATCCCTGTTAACCTCAAGCCACTGCATCACAACTGATAGGGATTTGAAGAGCTGGAGGAATTAATTTATGAATTCTCTTAACATAGTTTATGTTTCTTTTATTTGTGGCAAAATACACATAAAATGAAATTGATCATTAGCAACCTTTCGTGCATGCCCAACGCTGTGCGAACATCACCACTATCCAGCTCCAGAGAATTTTTATCAACCCAAGAGGGAGCTCTGTCCCCTCAGGCCGTCCCTCTGCCCAGCCTCTGACAACCACTAACCTACTCTCTCTCTTGCTAGATATTTACCTACTCTGAATGTTTTATGCAAATAGAATCATACACTATGTGGGCTTTGGTGCCTGACTTTATATTAACTTAGCACACTCTTTTCAAGGTTCATTCAGGTTGTCGCATGGATCAGTGCTTTATTCTCTTATGTGGCTGAATAGTGTTCCATTACATGGATATGCCACATTTTGTTTATCCGTTCATCAGTTGAAGGACATCTGAGTTGTTTCCCCATTTTGACTATTGTAAATAGAGCTGCTATGAATATTTGTGTATGAGTTTTTGTTTGAACACCTGATTCCAATTCCGTTGGGGACATGCAGAGGAGCAGAACGGCTGGGCCATTTGATAATTCTGTGTTTAAGTTATAAAGGAACTCAGTAAATTTTTATTTAGCAGTTCTTCTGGGGACATAGCCAGGAGCGGAATTGCTGGGTCATTTGATAATTCTGTCTTTTAAGTTCTTAAAGAACTCGATAAATCTTCATTTAGTATTGCTCTGTAACGCATTCTGGATTAATTAAAATGATAAATGTTGTGTGGCCATTACCACAATTTAAAAAAAAACTGTAAAAGGGGTGGAGGCTGGAGTCAGCCTCAGGCTGTAGTTGTGGGCCCCTGCACTAGACTGTGAGCCCCTCTGGGAGCAAGAAGTCCGCCTGATCGGCCTCTGGGACTCCAGTGCCCAGAGCAAACCTTCTATATTCACTCCTGCCCCAACCCTGTGTGCCGCAGTCTGCTGCGCTGCAGGTACAGGGGGCCGCCGCAGAAGAGGTCCTTGGGCTCGTGAGGTCGCCCTCTAGTGGGAGGCCAGCAAGCAAATTAAATCGAAGGAGTTTCCTTGGAAGGCTGCACAGGGTGCGGTGACAGAGAGGAGACGGAGAGGGCCCCTTCTTTCCACTGGCTGGTCAAACGGGCCCCTCTCTGAAGAGATATTTGTACTGAGTAATGGGGAGGGGCAGCCGGACTGAGATCTATGGACATGTGTCCCAGCTGATGGGACAACCTGGGGAAGGAAGGACGGAGTGGAGCACAGTGAGTGAGGGCAGTGGTCTAGGCTGCAGCCTGATGCACTAATACATTTCTTTCTTTTTTCCTCTTTTCCTTAGGAATGACCCCTGCTGTTCTTTCTAGCAACTTTGCTCCATCTCAGGTCGGCCTTCACGGGTCCTTCATCTCCCAGGTAGTCTCACCTCCCAAGAAGGCTCTTTGTGCCCTGGACAGCAAATGTGGAGGGGAACGCATTAGGTCCTTTGAGGAATGACCTCTGTCTGCCCAGAAGCACAGTGGGAGGGTGTCTCTGGGGGCCCTAAGGAGATGGGTCCAGAGAGCAGCTGAGTGGGAAATTGGCAGGGGTTGCCCTCCCACTTTTTCTTCCAGACGCTTCCGACCCTTCTTCATTGTTTCTATAATAAACTGTACACTTGCTGAAATGTTACACTCGGTTATTCCATTCACCCCACACGGAGAATTAGTAATATGTAGGGAGTCAGGGGACGCCAAGATTCACAGGAATCACTTAATCCTGGCAACAGCCCCAGAGGGAGGCTCTGCTACGCTGCCTGCTTTATGGCAGAAGAAACTGTAGCTCAGAGGGATCGATCATTTGTCCAAGGTCACACCAGTGACAGAACTGATTTTTGACCCAGATCTTACTCATTCCAAAAGCTCTATTTTTCTAAATAAAGGTTTAGGATTTCCCACTGAGGAAATAAAGATCTGAAGATGTAGCCGTTCCAAGTGTCTCAGCTCTCCAGCCTGCATGTGCCTCGCTGCTACCTGAGGAGGCTTGGAGTCCTGGTTCAGGTGTTAGGAGGATTTTCTTGAGACCGAGCCCCACATACACTCCGGGCTGGATGTGCAACCTTGGGGAGTTGTTGCCTCTCAATGCTGCATTTTTCCTCCATAAAATGGGGGCATTAATTGAGTAAAATCCCTCTTATCATCATGACCAGGGACAGTTGTTAGTTGGTTCATCACAAAGTTGGTTAAAATGGGCAATTAAAAATACATAAAAATTTTTTATTCATTAATCTTATAGAGAGAGGGAGAGGGAGAGAGAGAAGAGAGAAACCACTTAGTATGCATTCATTTGTTGATTCTTGTATGTGCCCTGACCTGGGGTTGAACCTGCAACCTTGGTGCATTGGGACGACACTCTAACCTACTGAGTACCTGGCCAGGACCTAAAAAATACTTTAAACCATATAAACATAAATGTATTTGCCAACCTTTTGGTATAGGACCAAGGTTTTCTTTTTAGTATGGGTCATGGTTGGACCTGTGGTTATGTTTGTTCTTAGCAAATGTGACTTCGTTGAAGGAAATGTGGCAAAGCTATAGATAAGGAAATAAAAACTTTACTCCTCAGAGGGAAATTTCATGTGCTTTAGCTCAACGGCTACCCAGGCTTCTAAAAAGGCCTCCAAAATGAAGGACCTCCCAAGTCAACAAAACTTCATTCAAGCGGGTGGGTAAGTGTGGCTGTGTTTGCACAAGTGAGTCTGTGCGGCTGAGCCTATGGGAAGCTTTCGTCTTCTCTTACAGCAACCTGTGTACAAAAAGCGTTGCCCCTTAAACAAGTAAAGAGAAACTGCTAAAGGGCACAAAAACCAGTAAGCTGATGGCAGATAGATGGGACGGAATGCCAACTCTCTGCAGATAAGTGAGGCGAAAAAGATGGTGCGGTGTCCTGTACCCCAGTGAAACCCAGTAGTGACTAATTTTCAAGCTAGTTTTAAATCTTTAAACTAGTTTTTATTAAGTAGTTCATTAAAAGGAACAGGTTTTATATGCTTACCTGAGGCAACCCTGGTGGTTGACGTTAGGTTTTGGTAACTTCCCCCCACATGCCTTTAACGGCCTCTGCATTCAGTCTCCCTTTCCTGGTGGATGGTGGTGTGAAGGAGGGTTGTCTTAAATTTTATTTAAAACTGAGTTCATAGCTCTGGCTGGTGTGGTTCTGTTGTTTGTAGCACCGTCCCTTAACCGAAGGGGACATTTGGCAGAGTCAGGAGACATTTTTGGTTGTCACAACTGGAGGGCAGGGAGCGGTGTTGCTCCTGACATCTAGTAGGGGGACAGCAGAGATGCTGCTTGATGCCCTTCAGTACACAGGACAGCCCCCCACAGCGAGCAGTGATCAGACCCAAGAGACAATAACGCTGAGACTGAGAAACACAGGTTCTCTTCCTGCGTCTCCTTGCTCAAAGTATAACATTCTAGGCCGTTTGCTGTGTGTCACTGCCGTCTCCCTGGCAACTGGCCCTTTTGGGGCATCTAACAATGGCCTGCTGACTGAATAAATGCACGGCCTGAGCCTGCCATCAGGCCCAGAGCAGGCAGGGGGAAACCCTGAAAGGTAGTTGTGACCTACTTTCCCTAGAGACAGGCGTTAACCTAAAAATGAAAAGGCCTTTCAATGTGAGAGGCTACACTATTTATTTGAGATCAGATATTTGGGATGCATTGATTCAGGCAGAGCCCAAAGGGTGCTCAGGATTAAGAGACAAGAGGCAATGGGTATTTATGAGAAAGGGGAACGAACGATTCATCTGTAAAAAAAAATGTATTGTTATTGGTGTAGATAACATAGCAATGTTAATTCTAAATAATGTTCTTAATTTTCAGTTCAGTGGCCATCAGTCCAGTAGTTTTGCTATCTGCTTCTTGTTATTGTGCAAACGGGTTTGGGTTTCTGTTCTTCTTGTTGCTGTTGTTGTTTGGAGGGTGGGAGGGGTATAATGTTTCTTTGGTTCCCGTCCCAAGGGTATTTGGCTCCGTTTTAACATCCAACGGTTTGCAGCATTAAGTGTGGAAGGCTCTTCCTCTGGCAAGGCAGCTCAAGATCCATTTTAGCGTGGTTCCATTTAGTAGTATTATTAATGAATCCCAGGGACGTTTCTGAGCAGATACAGAAAGCAGGCACCCAGGCACAACGCTAGGTGCTCCTACGTATACTGTTGATGGTTTTTTTCCTATCATTTTTATTCTTCAATCACAGTTGAAATTCAGTAGTATTTTAGATTAGTTTCATTTCAGGTGTACCACACAGTGATTAGATATTTGTACCATTTATGAAGTGATCCATTCCCTTCCCCTAGGAACACACCCACCCACCGACCCACTCACTCACTCACTCTTCTCGTCTCGCACGGCTCACGTAAGTACCTTCTGGTCCGAACCCTGGCTCCTCCTACACCTGACCCTACCACCTCCCTCCTCCCGCGCACCCGCCTGCTGCCTCCTGAGGGGCCCGGTGTGTGACGTCACCACGCAGGGGCGGAGGGCAAATGAAGGCTGTTACCGTGGTGACCGTTCACTCAGGAACCTCAAGCAGCGTCTTGCCCCTCCCCGCCAACCGACCCCGAGGCTCGGAAACGGGTCGACCATCGGGGCAGGAGATGGAAAGTGGACATAAAGAGGGAACGCCAGGGTTAGGGACTCCCATCAGCAGCTCCGTTGCTCGGCGGCTCCTTCTTTATCCGAGGCGAGGGGCCGGCTCCCAGCCCGACCTCAGCGCGCTGAACTACAACTCCCAGAAGCATCTGCGGCAACTCCTCCCTTCTCGCTTCCCCAGCAAATAGCCGAGGGCGACAGCGGTTACCAGCGCTTTCTAGGCACGAAGTCCTGTCTGGATGTAGGCATTTTGGTCACAGTCTGTTCTTCTATGAGCAAACGCGCCTCCCGTTTCTCTGTCCCATTGAGAGTACGACACCCGCAAGCCTCTGAGCCGCTCAGTCGGAGGGTTCCCTCGGAGACAGCGAGACGCGGAAGCCTGACGAATGAGGCGGGGCCAGGTTGGAAGAAGGATTCCGATTGGCGGAGAGGCCACGCCGCGGGCTTGAGAAAACTGGTCACGGGTGCACGTGCGCCTGGCGGCCCCACGCGGGGCCTTCTAGGTCAGGTGAGTTGAGCGGCGTCCGCCAGCTCCGGTCCCCCGGGCAGGGTCTCAGGGTAGCGCAGGCGGGATACCGAGTCTGCGAATGCGAGGCGCTCGGGGCCTAGTTCCCGAGGCCAGAACGGCGGGCTCCGCCGAAGTGCCCCGGAGGTGAGTGCGGCCCCTGGTTCCCCTGCCGCGGTTTCCCAAAGGCGTGCCCGGTCCCTGTGGTAACCGCCCCCTTCTCGCTTTCCCCGGAGGGACGTGTCCCAGCTCCGCCTGCGGGGGTGGGGAGCGCCAAGGAGAAGGGCCTGTTGATTCTGACCCGCGTCCGTTCCTCCAGGCCGCCGGGGAAGGGTGGGCTGGGACCCTTTCACCCTCTCACCCTCTCTGGGCCTCGGTTTCCCCTTTTGTGAAGTGATCTTTGGAGCCCCTTCTGTGCCCCTTGCTAGTTCCGGGACCCGAATCAAGGTACACACGCCCCGTTCCTCAGTTTCCCCATGTAAGAGGAGGCGGAGGATAGAACCTGGCTCGTACCGTTATTGTGAAGTCTCAGGAACCTTACTTAGGACAGGGTCCGGTACACAGTGACCGCTCGGATGCTGGTTTGGGGATTTGGACAGGCGCCTCGGCCCCTCTGGGGTCCAGGGTGTGGATCTGCCTTAACCGGTCGGCTTATTATTATTGTTTCAGTTCTCTTTCAGGCTTCACGGGTATATGGGTAACCTCTTCTGTATCGGGTTGTTTCTTTTTTCATTGTATTGTGTTCATGGCGAGTGGTACTGTCTGTCCATTGGGGACCATGAAATGTAGCTTCACTTTGAAAATACACTTGGTACGTTCACGGGCTCTCGATGTTGGTTGTGCGTCACAGCCACGCGCGCACCTGGCGCCCAGCTGGAGGTGCAGGTGCGGCCGTAGCCGCGTGACTGCAGCACGCGAGCACGTGCACCCGCGAAGGGCTTTTGGATGTCAGGTGTGTGGGCAGGGCCTCATCCGGCGGCCGTCGTCCGTGGAGCAGCACCTGCGCGAGCACGGGGGCGAGAGGCCCATGGAGCGGCAGTGCTGCGGGCAGGCCTTCGGTACGTGCGTGCCGCTGGCGCGGCAGCGCTGGCCCCACGCCTGTGCTGGGGCGCGCTCCACTGGGGAGGTGCACCAGGAGCGCCGGGACACCTTGGTGGGGAGCCCCAGCCTGCAGGGACCCTGGGACCGGCGCCCTCGCAAGCTGCCCCCCTGCCTGTGTGCAGCGTGGGAGGGTCTTCAGGGACAGCGCAGTCCCTGTGTTCCCCAAAGGGAAGGACCGGCCAACCTGCGTCTCGAATACGTGGGCGTGGGTGTTGACATGGCCCCTTTCCAAGACAC